ATGGGCCTGTTCCTACAGTCTTGGGGGGCCTCCACAGGCTGAGCTGGTGGGGAGGGTCCTGAAGGGTAGGGTGAAGATGGGGACTTTGCTCCCTGTAGAGAGGAGGAAACCAGAAGACAGGCTTGGGGCACGGATGACACAGGTTTTGGAACTAGGATGGGGCAGGGAAAACAAAGCCCCAAATGGAGTATGGGTCCCTGGAAGTTGACACACTCTTAGCCCTCATGGGGTTCCAGCCCTCTGGCCAGCCCAGTGGGTAACCCCGGGGAAGTGGTCACATGACGTGGCACTTGTCAGCTGATTGCTTGAGGTCCCCCAGTGTGGCCTGGGCCTTGTCCTTGAGTGAGCCCAGGTCCAAGCCAGGGAGGCTGGCCAGCTGCCCGAGGACTGAGGCCTTCTCCTCCTCCTCCTCTGTGTCCTCCTCGATCATCTTGGCCAGCTCCCGGGGCAGCTCCACGTCTCCACCTGCCATCTGGATCTGGCTCTCATCTGTCTCGTTCTGAAGGGAAGAGGGCATGGGGAAGGGTGAAAGACTGTGAGGACCCAGAGTTGAGAGGGCAGGGAGGAGGCTTGGACTGGGTTCCAGGTCCCTAGATTCTATTTTTTTTTTTTTTTTTTTGTAGAGACAAGGTCTCCCTATGTTGCCCACTCTGGTCTCAAACTCCTGGGCTCAGGTGATATACCCACCTTGGCCTCCCAAAGTGCTGGATTACAGGAGTGAGCCACTGTGCCTGGCCCCCTAGATTCTTGAGTCCCATGTTCCAGTGAGCTCAGCTCCCACCCCACATCCCAGGATCAAGCGTTTGATGCTTGAACATGGAGACTTTTCATATTACCTTACTTCACTCTGAGATACGGAAGGACCAGCACAGTGAGTAAAGACAAAATGAAAATACCTATGAGTCACACTGTTACAGTCAGCTAAGACATGTTTTGACTCTTGTTATGCTTAAGGGTAAACCAAAAATAGTGATGGGTACCATTTATCGAACATCTATTACATGGCAGACATTGAGCTGGGTGCTTTTAATTCTCACAATAACCCTGTGAAGTCCGTAAGTATTGTTACCTCCACTTCAGAAATAAGGAAATCGAGGCTCACAGAATTTAAGTAACTAACTTGAAGTTACTTAGGTAAATTGTCCAAGGTCACACAGGTAGGATGTGGGGGAGCTAGAGTCAAACCTATGCCAGCTAGATTCCAACATCTGTGCTTTTTTTGCATGACACCTACAATGGACATTGCCCTTCACTGTTCTTCTGGGGGGTGCTGGAGCTTTCCAGCCCATGTCCTACTCAGATGCATCCAAGTCTTGCCTCTTCTGCTTAACTCTGACTTCCCTGATAGCAGATGTCTCTTACATGCCTAGCGCAAGCATCTGAAGGATGATTTTATTCCTAGGAGAGTTTGCAGTGAGGCAGGCTTTCTGGACCGGCTTTCCCCATGAGAGATTTCCAAAAGATTGGTGCCCTGTGGGGAGTCAGAAGCAGCTGGGGACTCAGTAAATATTTGTTGAATGAGTAAATGTGATGTTCATATATTTGGTCGTTCAATTCAAGTGGAAGATCAAAGTCAGGAGTGCTATAGCCCTGTGCTATTTTCCCCGGAACCCAGCACAGTTCTGGGTGAGGGAATCGGCCCTATCCTGCACAGTGCTCTTTGCGATTTGGGGACTGGGCAGGTCCCGTCTGGGCTGAAGTGTTCCCTCTCTTAAATCCAATGGCTAGAGCTGAGAACCAAGAGATGCCAGTGCTGTGGGAAGTCCGGCTCACGGAGTGGCCCACCTGAAGTGCACATAGCCAAAGAAGTCTATGTGCGCTTTTTTGGAATGAGGAGGAAGAACAGGAAGAACAGCACTAGAGTGATATTCTGGGAGAGGTTTGTGCTTCAGTCCCCTCCTCAGACGGCAGGAGCCGCACACTTATATGTCCATCTGGTGCTGCACTGCCCAGGGGAGCGTGGGGGCAGGGATCTCCTGAGATATAATCTCTGGCTGCTTGGCTGGCCAAGGGGGTACTTGGCTCTCTACGGGCAGGCTCCATGCCCTGGAAAGCAGCCTGGGGCTCTGGAACAAAGGCAGACTCAGAATTCACAGGCTTGAGGTCTGATCCCAGCTCTATGGCTCACTGGCTGTATGACCTTAGCCAAGCTCCTCCATCTCTCTGAGCCTCAGTTTTGTCATTAGTGGCTGTGGGTGATAGCTGCCTGGCAGCATTATTGGGGGTTAGATGAGGACATGAAGTTCAAGTACTTGGCACACACAGGACCTCTCTCCCCCACCTTAAGTTTTGTCCTCTAGTAGGTTCAAAACCCCCGAGAGCACTCACCTTGGCAGTCAAATCTACTGCTTTCTGCCTCCCCCATGTCTTTCTCTGCCCAGGTCTGGCCTAGGCTTGTTGGGGGAGCAGGGGGTGGAGGATAGAAGAGGCCTAGATTGGCTCCAGAAATACAAACCTGTCTGTCTCACAAGGACTGGGGTTCCCTCAGCACTAAGCCCTGGCCCTTGGTGGGTGCAGGTTAACTATGAGTGAGTGAATGAATAAATGAACAAATGAATGAGTGATGAGTGGGAGAAGGAAGGATCTAACCAAGCACCCTGTGAATCTTACAGCTGAGGGCTGTGGTGCCCAGGATGGGGCGAAGGAGTCCTGATCCCAGAGCTCAGGGTCCCAGACTTGCCTTGCAGCCGGAGCCAGCTTACCTTGGGTAGCCGGTATTTATCTCGGAAGTGGCTCCGCAGTGTGGCCCGCTCTGCCTTCCTCTGTGTGAACTGTGCATCCCGCTCCATCCTGCAGGGTCACCAGGGGCAGAGTCACCCCAAGGGAAGAGTGAAGTGTGTTGGGGTCTTTGAGGGAGGGACAGAAGGGGTCTCCAAGTCCTGGCAGCTGCTGCATTGGTCCCTGTGTCTGGGTCTCTGCTGCCTCTTCCCATCACAGTGCCCTTTGTCATCTCTGCCACTGGATGGAACTAGGGGGTCAGGGTGGCAGTCTGTCTGGTTCTCTCTGCAGACCCTAATTATTTGTCCCTCATGGCCTCCAACTTGGCGTGTTGTTCCCTCCCTGACAAGCTATGTCATGTGGGGGAAAGTATTCAGGACAAACTTGGGTTCACATCCCAGCTCCACTACAATTTTAGGTATATCCTTGGGTCACTTACCTTCCTTTTCTGTAAAATAGGGATGCAATTTTGCAACCCACAAAACCGTTATCAGGATTAAGTGAAATAATAGCTGTCATTTATGAGGCTTTATCTTGTGCCAGGTGCTGTGCTAAACAGTTTACATGCATTGGCATCGAATCTTCATAAATATCAAGGCATGTATTATGATTACCATCCCCATTTTCCAGAAGAGAAAACAGAGGCACAGAAAGGTTAAGCAACTTGCCTAAAGTTACCCAGCTAATAAGCAAAGCCAGGCTCTGAATCCAGTAGCCTAGCAGCAGAGTCCAGAACCAAACTCTTTCCCAGCACTGTGGGGACACAAGTGGGCTGAATGTCTGTGAGTGCCCCATCTCAGGGTCTGCCTCCGCGACTCTGAGCCTCCTTGGTTGCACCACTTTTTTCAGAGGCTCAAGCTCAGAGGAGCCCCATTTGGAAGACATAGGCAGCTGGGACCAGATCGGATTAAGGGATTATTGTTTCATCAGAAATGCACGTGCATCCCCCTCCTCGTCCCAGGCTCCGGCCGCCCCTCCCCCCACTCCCCTTTGGCCGGAGTATGAAGCTAAGCGGGGTTTTGGGTTTGAGATGGGATGGCTCTGGGAGCAGTGTAGAGGACACCTCCCGGTCTCTTACCACGTCTAGGAAAGTAGGGGAGAGGGGATTGGGACCTGAGGCTGGCCCCGGGATGGACCGAGCAGTTGTAGGGGTAGGGAGGGGGGGTCACTGGAGCCAGGAAAGGGATCCCACTCACTTCTCTTCCACCAGTTGCTTCTGATACTCCTCGTACTCCTCTCGGCTCATGCCCTGAGCTTCGGCTGCTGACTTGTCCCCATCCCCCTTGTCCTCGCCGCCTCCCAGGCTCCCGGTGAGGTTCTTCAGCTGGCCGCCCACCATGGTCTTCACCATGAACGCCATGGTCTTCGCCGGCCGGGGCACGGGGCGCCTGCTACCACGCGCCAGGCACCGGGCACATCTGCGCCTACTTCAGCACTAGGTCTCGCGGACAGCTCCGCCGCGGGCCCGCGCCCCACGCTTGGCGCCGCCCGCCGCCCGCCCCCGCCCGGGCCCGCCCCCACCTCCCCAAACCCCTCCTCACGGGGGGCGGGGGGCAGCACGGGGCTGAGAAGGCTGGACCACGTGCCTGCTCCCCACTCCCGCCTCCCCCACGTGCCTCCTTCAACGCCGAGCTCCGCTGGGCACTGCTGACAGCGGATTAGGGCCTGCGGTGGTGGGGTCGCTCCCCCGGGAGAGGGGCTGAGCTGATAGACTCCCGGAACCCTATTCCCTAGCCTCCTCCAACTTTCTCCTCTCCTGGGCCAGCTGCGAGATCCAGGTAGCAGCAAGGGGTAAAAACCCAGCCTTGGGCGACCCCCATTTTCTCTACCCACCCAACTCACTGAACCCAGCGGCTGCCCAAAGAGCTTGTCGCTGGGAAAGGGAGGGAGACCCGATTGTGCGAGCGGGAATCCCAGTTATGGTTCCACGAGTTGGCCTCTCAGGGTTCCTCTGTCACGCGCCTCCCCAGCTGCCCCCGGAGCAGCTGGGAGTGGGGAGGGAGAGAGCTGCTCAGTGATGCTGGCTGGGCCAGGAGGAACACTGGGAGACACTGCTCCCTGTTCTGGGTGAATTTGAGGACAGAGTTATACACATCATGGCTCTGTTTCCTTCCATAGTCCAGGGCTCAAAGCCTGTGGGGTATCTGGTCTTTTGGAGGTTAAGCCAGTCCTTGGCCTCCCTGCCTGCTTGGAGTGCACTCCCAGCCAGCTACTCAGAAGGGGTGGAAGCCTTCACAGAGATTAGGGTGAGGCTGAAGGAAGACCAGCATGTCACAGCATGAGGAGAGGGAAATCACGTTTAATAAGGTGGGAATGTGCTGAAAGCTCAGGTGTAGGTGGGAGCTGGGCATGCAGACGGAGAGGATACTGACCAAGCCCCCATCGCAGACACCGCCTGCTTCCCAGTGATGCAAAGTGGCTCTGAGGTGGGTCAGGCCATGCTGGCGGGGAGAGGCTGCCTCCTCACAATCCCCGGGGCCCTAGGGGTGTGTGGTTCAGGACACAGAGGAAGGCTACCTGTGGACAGACACTCCTGAAGGCTGTTGTCCAGCTTCTGCCTGCTGCCAGAGAGAAGGTTACAGGTTACTTGTGTCTCTCCTTTATAGGCTTTTGAAAAACCAAGGCTCTCATCCTCGCCTTGCTACACTGATTGCACCACAACCTTCTCTGTTCTGGGACTTTCTGTGGCTCTTTTGGCCTGCCACATAAAGTCCACGCTTCCCCCCCCGGGCATATAAGGTCTGTCCCAGTGGCTCCAGGCTGATTGCCACCACTGCGCTCCTGTGCATGTGCACGAGCCTGTGATCATTTCCACCTTGTGCTTTTTAAAGCCTAGCTCATTTCGCTCTTCCTCCAGGACCATCCCAGCCCACACAGACTCTTCTTGTCTTGAAATTCCACCAACAAAGATCGTCAGTCTCGTTGCTGAGGCCCTTAGCACACCCCACGTCTCTAAGTGGTGCACATTCATTCATTCATCAAACACACACCAAACAAAACCAGTGACTTCCTCCCACCTTTTCAGGTCTCTTTGCTCAGTTTCACAAACTGGTCCTGCCTTTTGCTCCAACACTACTGAACTTCCATGTTTTCTCTAAAATACTATGTTTTTCTCATGCCTCCCTGCCTTTTCTCATGCTGTTCTCTCTGCCTCTATGCCTTTACCTATCTTGTCAGGGTGGAAAACTCCTCATTACCTTAATGACCATATCAAATGTCCTTTCCAGGTTGATTCCCTAACCAAGTGGGGTCAAGTGTGTTCTCCTGTGCTCCTGTAGCCCCTCAGCTTCCTGACATCATGGCATTGACCACATGGGGTCAGTTAGACCTGTGTGAGTGAGCTCCGTGGGAGCAAGACCCAGATGGGGCTGGGGGCTGAGCAGGTGGTCAGTAGTGCTGGGTGAGAGAATTGGCCTTATCCTGCGCTGTGCTCTTTGCAATTTGGGGACTGGGCAGGGCCTGTCTGGGCTGAAGTGTCCCATCTTCTAAATCCAGTGGCTAGAGCTGAGAACCAAGAGATGCCAGTGCTGTGGGAAGTCCGGCTCATGGAGTGGCCCACCTGAAGTGCACGTAGCCGAAGAAGCCAACGGTCTGAATGAGGAGGAAGAACAGGAAGATGCCAGGCTGCAGGCACGAGGAGGCCCTTGAGGGCTGTCTAGGTGGGCGGGGGGCCTTGGCTGCTGCATTCTGAAAGGGGAAAGTCTAAGGTCCTAGCCCAGCCCAGCTTCTTACCCATAAGGAGAGGGGGACCTGGCATCTGGGTCATGGGCATGCTCCGTTTCCCTCCTCCAGGCTTGGAGTGTCCTGGCTCTCATCCAGGGAACTTGGAGAGGGTGCAGTGTACAAAGCTGCCTCCCCTACCTCAGCTCCCATGGTTGCATCTGTGGGAACAGCTGGGAAGGCCTGGGGCCTGGGATCATCAAGGGACCCAAGGCTCAAGAGGAGAGAAAGAGAGAAGTAGAGAGCCCAAGACAGGGTGGGGGAGGGAACGAGGATGGGACAGGGCATGGGAAGCACTGACTCCACCACCGAACTCTGAATGATCTTGGGCACAGCCCACCCCGGTCTCCTGTGGTCATTGGGTATTGGATCGAGGGATGACCAGGGTCCTGCTGGTGCTGAGTCTGTGGGACTCTCCAAAGAGCAGAGAGGGCAGAGAGAAGTATCTGTGTCCTGGCACATATGCACGCACACACAGACACGGGCACAGATGTGCTTGGCAGTGGTTCTGGGAGGGGAGGGCAAAGGCAGGAGGGCTTGGGGCTGCAGAAGTGCTGGAAGAAAGGCAGCTGAGCCCAGACATCAGGGTTGGGTCCCCCATGCTCCCTCACCGCCGGGCCCTGAAGCTCCTTCTGCAGGAGGCCCAGGATGTGGTCCAGCTCTAAGAAATGGTGCTCAGTGCCCAAAGGCAGGTAAGAGACTCGGGCTTCTGTGGCCATGCGGACAGCTGCGTCCCTAGTCAGGGGTGGAAACCAAGTAAGATGACTCATTACCCCTTCTGCTTCACCCAAATGGCCTAATCATTTCCCAGTCCCCCAGGGGCAGCACGTGGGTGGGGAACAGGTACCATCGATAGGGCCCCTTCTTTGGGGCTGGTCTTTTCACCTCAAACCTTCTTCCTACATCCTGAGACTTCAGCTCAGATAGAGATCTCCCTAAAGTCCTTATTTGGACACATTGTGTTTCTCTGACCCCATCCAAAGGGGCTTCCACCTTCCCCCTCCACTCACACCCCTCTCCCCAGGATCCCCGCTCTGCCTTCCATCCCCAGCCCCCAGGGATTTAACTCCTTTCCTTCTTCTCATCTATGCGCCTCTCCACCCCCTACCCTAGGTCTCTATCCCTGTGTGTACAGAGGGGCGTTAGGCCTCCTCCACAGCATCCCCAGGACTCCCCCAAGCCCCAGGGCTCCAGAGGCCCAGCCTAGAGTGGGATATTGGGAGGCTAGTGGGGGCACAAAACCAAGTCAGGGACTGTGCCTCCTCCAACTGGTCTGATCTTGGCTGTGTTCCCTCTCCAAGAGCTCCCATCAAAATGCCCCTCATCCCAGGAGCTGCCACTGAAAGAGTGCTCAGATTTCCTAACCCTCCTGCGGGTGGGAGTGTTGGATGGGGGCCTTCATGATGAGCTTCTCCTGGAGAGAATTGCTTTTCAACTAGGACTTGAAAACATTAAACATGATTCAATTAAAGTCAAGTCAACTCAACAAACCTAACTCCACCCCCAGCCCTTCCAATGGACAGGCTGCATGCTGGGCGCTCAGGAAATGATGGAAGGAATGAAGGGCTAGTAGAGGAGCTTCAGGCAGAGAAGAAAGGTGGTGGAGGGGTCCCCACCCAGTCCCTTACCTCATCCCTTGCAGGGCCTGGAGCAGAGTCCACTGTCCATGGAGCAGGGCACTGAGCTTGGCAGAGTCCTGCAGGAGGGCCAGCTTTTCTTGTCTAGGGTCCAGGACATAGCCCCTCTCTTCTCAGAGCCCTCCTTCCCAGGGGTGCTGCAGCCTCTTCCTTCCAGAGGCCTTCCCAGATTACCAGGGCTTCCTTATTTGGACACATTGTGTTTCTCTGACCCCATCGGTAGGGGCTTCCGCATTCCCCCTCCACGCACGCCCCTCTCCCCAGGGGTGGCTGTTCCCTCCCAACAGTGGCCACTTTAGGGTTTTCTCAAAATCCCTCTCCCTTCTTTTTTTTTTTTTTTTTTTTTATAAAGAGGGGGTTTCACCATGTTGGTTGGGTTGCTCTGTCCTGGACAACCTCAGGTGATCCGCCGGCCTTGGCCTCCAAAGTGCTTGGATTAAGACGTGAGCCACCACGGCCGGCCAATCCCTCTCCCTTCTAAAAGTGGTTCTGTCCCCTGAAAGAGGCAGAGGCCCAGCCCAGTCCGCTCTGCCCTGATTCGCCCAGGGCATCATCCAAGCTGGGGCCAGTGCTGGCCGACACCCAGTGTTTGGGTCCCTGCCTTATTGAGTGACCCGGAGAGGTGGCCACCCCTCCCTGGGGTGGATGGAATCTGGCAGAAAGAGTCCAGGGCCTGGAGGTAGGATCAGAGAGGCCTGGCCCTGGAGTGTGAGTCCCCCCCGCTCTTCCCCACACTAGCAGCCCAGACTAAGCTGCTCTGGCCCGAGGGAACAAGATTAAAACCTCGAGCTGTCAGAGCCCAGCAAAGTCCACAAGAGCTGCTGGCCTCCTCTGCCCAGTATCTAACACCTTGGCTGAGTTTAGCTCTCAGGCCCCCAGGCTGGGCATGACCTGAGGCGTGACTCCCTGGGGGAGGAGCCAGATGGCAATGGAGATGAAATGAGGCTTCTGGTGCAACTGAGCATTAAGCAAGCCGTATGCAAATCGCATGTGAAGCTACATGCAAATTAGCACCTAGTCTATTTCTGTCATTCATCTACAGAGCCGAGTCCAAATATCTGGCATCTCCTCTCCCTGGCCTCAGCCTCAGCCCCAGCCCCGTGGCTCCGTGCACATTTGCTTGTGCAGAGATGCCATCCCGCATGCTGCCCTGCCCCATCCTGTGACCTGCAGCATTTCATCCCTGCCCTCCTTTCCCTCCAGGCCTTGGGGGAGACTAGTTCCTGACTACAGTGCCTGCTCCTCCTTCAGGCAGGTGGAGCCTTGAATGCCTGCAGGGCTACTCACCCAGCCTCCGTCAGGCCTGGCCTGGCCTGGGGGCCCCAGCTGCTTCCATTGCCTCTCAGCCTGGGCCAGCCGCTCGGAGAGACTCTGCAGAGCCTGCAGCGTCCGGCTGTGTCTGTCCAGCGTCTCCTCCAGGTCAAAGAGCCTTTCCCCTGGGGATTGGGGCAGAGCTGGGGTGGGCAGCCAGCCATGGTGGGCAACAGAGCCTATCTTATCGTTGGGGGGCTTCTTGGAGAGGGGGGCCAGAAGGTGTGGCTGCTGCCTGCAGGACCCTCTCCTGGAAAATGAGTCTGGGTGGTAAGGTGGGGATGCGACAGAACACTTGGGCCCAAGGCCTGCTTAGATATGGCTTCCTCAGGCCTCAGTTTCCCCTTTGATGAAAGGACTCCTGGTTATAAGGGTAGAGGATGCTGTGATACTCAGATGGGTGCCACCTGCCCACTCTCTCTGTCCCTACCGTCTTCTTGAGCTTCAGAATCTGACTTTGGAGTTACATCCTCCCTGGTGCCCAGGCCCAGCCTTGCCCGCAGTCCTTCCAGCTGCCTCACCAGGCGGAGCTGCTCCATCTCCAGGACGGGTTGAGGGGGAACCTGGGGGAGGAAAGCAGAAAGTCAGGCCCTAAACCCATGAGGGATCCAGAGGCAAGGGGAGCCTTCCCACAGGCCCCCCCCCCCCACAAGCGCAGTCCCTCCTGGCCACCTGGCCCTGCAGTTTGCAGCCGTCTTGAGCTCTGCCTTCACGAAGATCCCCACCCTCTTCCTTCCCTGCGGTATAGGCCTCAGTCCTGTACACGCTGATCCACAGCTTCTTTAAGCTCATCTCTTCCAGGCAGCCTTCCTTGAGCCCCTGACTGGTTGGGACCCCTCCTCTCTCCTCCCACAGCCCCCTGTGCCTTTCAAGACCTGGCACTGATGACTCTGAACTGTAATGTCACAGCCTGACGCAGCCAGCCTGCAAGGCCTTGCAGACCAGGCCTGGCCCGCGGCACTGCCCAGCACAAGGTCTGGCCTGAGCAGAGCTCAGAGGCCAGCTGGGGGTAAGGGCTGGAATGGAGGGCACCCTGACATGGCCGAGGGCAGGGTCGCTGAGCTGCCACTCCCAGGTAGGCCAGGGCTGGCATCACCTCTGGGCCGGGCTCCCTCAGGCTGAAGGTCAGGAAGGACAGGACATCATGATCATCTGGAAAGGGACAGATGAAGAGGAAGTAAGACCCCTCCACCCAGCAGCCCCCTCGCCCAGCCTTCATCCTCAGCGCCATGATGCTTCACCGAGGAAAGAGCGGTGACTTTGGGCCACCGTCTGACGCTTATCTTGCTCAACTCATAGGAAAGGTGTGAGGGTTGACAGGTGGGTGGTGAGGGCTGAGCCTCAGGCTCTGTCAGAGGTAGGCCCCTGTGAGTGGCAGAGCTGGACAATCCCAAAACATCCTGGGCTAGGGCCGTGGCAGCAAACCAAGTGACACTCTTGGGCTCCCAGACACAGTAGCAGCAACTTTGCAGTGGCCACCTCTCTAGCATAGCTCTGACCGCGTCACTCTTTCCTCCTCAGAAACCAGACCAAAGGAGCCCGCACGGTGGCTCACGCCTGTAATCCCAGCACTTTGGGAGGCTGAGGCGGGTGGGTCACAAGGTCAGGAGATCCAGACCATCCTGAACAACATGGTGAAAACCCGTCTCTACTAAAAATACAAAAAATTAGCTGGGCGTGGTGGCGTACGCCTGTAGTCCCAGCTACTCGGGAGGCTGAGGCAGGAGGATCACTTGAACCTGGGAGGCGGAGGTTGCAGCGAGCC